CCCCCCCCCCCCCAATTCAATGCTGCGTAGAAATAAGAAAATCAACATTGTGCGAGAGGAAGAAGGATTGTTTCTAGGACGGTCGAAAACCAATCAAATTGTTAGTTAGAAAATGGGATGGTATGTTTTTAAAACAGATTGCACGATTAACAGACTCAGGTAAATTTTAAGTGTCTCATAGATTTTCTGTAACTCTTATTTTGTCACCAAAAAGGCTCTCAGGCTTTGGGAAGGGTTACGTGACAAGGAAACTTCCCAAACTCCACAGATTTGGTGGCATCTTATAAAATGTATACTTTCTTTCAGAGGTCTAGTTGTTTCATCTTCAAAAGTACCTTCTCGTGTGGATGGCTTTTAAAATTGCTATTAATTTGGAGTGGTTTCTTGGAATGTCAAAACTGAAGAAACTATGATCAATCTGATTGATGCTGATAACCGAATAAGACCATGCTATTGCATTAAATTAGTTCTTGTTACAAAATGGTTGCAGAAAAATTGCCCAGTAATCTGCTTTTGCCATAAACTACTATTACAGGCTGCATGATGTGTAGCTGTCTTGCTGGGAACAGCTCCATTGAAGTTCTTATAAACAAAGCAACTGATCAAATTGTCAAAATCAAACCTTGATAAAACTAGGCTTTATAGTACACTTCTTAAGGTGAAACATATTCTTTTTTTGCTGTATAATGTGACCAAACAGACCTGTTTAATAAACGTAATCACAACTGTTAAGAGTGCATCGAATGCTGCTACTTCCAGAGGCTTTTAATTAAAAAAGAAAAATAACTCATGCATGCCTTACGTGACTATGTTTTAAAACAAGTTGACAATCCGCAAACTGTGATAAACCAATTAGAAAGTTTTGGTGCAATCTCATGTATTCATGGACTCTTATTTCGCTTCTGTTGTTTATCCATTGCTTCTTTCATTTTCTCACACAGGAATAGCTTGAAATCTTCACTTCGCTTCTCTAAGGCAACAATGCACTAGGTGATTTTTATGCTTTTCACGAGCTCAAATTTGAATGTAAGCACACACTGCTTTCCTCTGCTTCAAAGACTTTTTTTTCCATATTGTACAAACAAACAGGTTGATAAATCATGCATTATGCATCATGCATTTTATAAAGTAATATCTGTGGTGGCTCACCTGGCTCGCTGCTTAGGCCTGTTCAAAGGCTATTCTGCTATTATTTCTCTTTTTCTTTTGTCCTTTTTGGTTTGTGTGCTGCTGAATTTTTCATGGCAAACTTCTCTTTTCCTGATTGAATATGTAATATCAAACATGTACATCTTTACAAATGTCACTTAATTGCAAAACCTTTTCCAGGAATGGATTGGCCTTGAGTTTTGCTAGAGTTTTCTAAGTTGCATCCCTTTGGTCAGCGGCATGGCCACATTGACAACTGCTTTGGTGAGGTGGGAAAACTGTGAATTTCTTTTGAGGTCAAAAACTCAAGTTTATTTTTGCATGAATCACCTCTATTCGAATTAATTAATAGGGTATGTGGATTTATTGGATTTAACAAAGTGTGGCCAAAATGTTTGTCAGATATTAGTGCACCAAACTGTGTGAGGCTTTCACAAAAATCAAAATATTTCTGTGTTGATTTCCCAGCGAGTTACAAAAATTGGAAAATGTTCTGTTGTTTAACTTCAAAAGGCATTTTTTTAGCAACCAATAGCAACAACGAAAATTTTAACACACTTCAGTTATTAGCTCATCATCTCCTGAGTGATATGATCCAGTCTGTTTGAATGTCTGTGGTAACATAAAGCGTGGTAAAAATTATTCAGTCGAGCAAGCACAGTCAGTTTTGCATTTAAAGGCTTGAACCTTGTTCGATGAACATTCAAGAATGTATTCAACATTTTCTGATAAATCTTTTGACATGGTGCATGAATTTTGAGCATCAGCCATTCTTTCACAAAGTTATAGTCTGTGATTACTAAAATACATGTGGTTGATACAAAAACGAAAATGCACTTAATGTATTAAGTCAGAACATACGAAAGAAGTGTCACCTATATTGTGGTGTTTTTGTGACTCACCGAGAAATTTTTAAAGGCAAATTTCCCACAAGAGTCATCGCACACTTCCAATAGTTTGATAACAATGTAATTGAATGATTAACATTATAGCTTGTGCAAGCACCGAGCCATGAAACCCTCCCTTTGATGCAGTGAACGGGAAGATTTCCATCCAGGACTTGACCAGAGAAATTTTATTTTTGCCGGTGAAAAGTCAGGGAATAGTCAGGGAATTTTGAAAAGTGATGTCTGTGTCATTTAATACATGAATAACATGATCGTGTTCATGGAAAATTGTGACTTGGATGTATTCGATAAGCCTTCTCCAAAAGTTTAGTTGCACTATCCAAATTTGTGTTGTGGTCTATCTGGGAATTTGAATACATATGTGGTGAATTCAATCTAAAAGGTAATTTTCAATACCATGGACGTGGATTGTAATCGTCATTGTAATGAATTGTCGTCACAGCCGGTAGTACGGTTTTGTTCTATTTAAGAGACCTTTGATGTCAGACTTTCTTGCAACTGGAAGGATCTGTCATCATAACCCCATTTTTCATCAGCAGGATCTTCTTGATGTTTATTGCTTATCATTTCGAACTTTTTTAAGTTGTGTTGTGCTTCTAATTACGGAAAGTTCACGTCATGAAAAACAGAACCTGTGAGGCCATGTTTGTTTTTGAGATGTTGTGATAAAAAAAAAGCTTTTTGCAACATCCTCGAATATGCAAATGTGCAATCACAAGAGGATCGATGAATCTCTGGGATAAGTGGCTAAATGTACTCAAGGCTGAGTTAAATGCGAGAAAACACTGCTGGTCTTCAGTCTCCCACTCGGTTGGTGACTGGGATGGCTGGGGGTGTTGTACAGAGGCTCCTTGTACTTTACAGCTCGGCTTTGGATGTCAAGTCATTCTACGTGTTTCTCACTGCCAGACTGAGTTTAATACTAGGGAGTAGGAAAGAGGCAATTTCTTGGTATTCTTAAAGGGCCACTTGTCTCCCCTACCCAGTGCAGAGTTCATTTGCTCTCCCCCACCCATCTGAAACATCTAAATAAAGGTACTTAATATCTTCCGTGTAATTTTGTGTGTGAGCCGACAAAGATTATTGCATTGTATAACTGTACATGAGCTTCATCTAACCACACTTAATTTTTTTTCATTACTTAGGAGTTAGACTAATCCTATCAGATGCCATACAGATATGAACAGCAAAAGATCATTTGATTGACTAGGAAAGATGGTCTGGACAGTCGGAAGATCACTGTAAGGTAAGTTAAGGTAACTTTAGTCATAGTGTAAACGTGTGGAGTGGTTGCCCAATCTCCCAAGCCAGGGGCTCATGACAAAAATGCACTTACCCATCAACCATGCCTTGATTAAAAGGTTTCTTAAAGTTTTTTAAGTAACCTGAAACAAAAGTAAAGCATTGCAAAGCCAAGCCTTGTTCAGGGTCGTCTCATAGTGTTATTGGGTAAGACACTTTACCCCCACAGTGCCTCTCTCCACCCAGGTGTATAAATGGGTGCTGGCGTAGTCGATGCTGGGGCTAACCCGATGATGTACTTCATGTAGCAACCCATCCAGGGAGGAAGTAGAAATACTCCTAGTCGCTTAATGCGATAGAAACCGAGATAAGCTCTTGCTGTGTCAGCCATTTGGCCTGAAGCATAAAGCAAGGGCCATAGCAAGTAAAGAGAAACGTGGACAAGTTCAGACTAGTAGATTACTCAGCATGGCAAACTCATCTCTCTTCAGGATTGCCAAGCATAGGTGAGAAAAGCTGGAAGTCAGTAAAAACTACCAGGGAAAGAAGGACAACTTCAGGATGATGTTTCATTATGAGATCAGTTGATGTGTGAAACACACTAAGCTATAGGTATGACCCAGATTTATTCTTCCACGAAATGCTTTTTCTGCATGGAGGGTGGCAGGTGAAAACTCATCAATTTGTTAAGGAGTTGAATTACATCTTTCATCCTAGCCAGGGCTGACATTAAGTTTTGGTTCACCTGTAGACTTGATCTTCACATAACAAACTTGATACTTTATCAGGGATCATAAAAAGTGCTATCCAGTCTTTAGGACAAGTAGATTTTCTTGGTGGGCTAGTAACTCTTCATTCTCACTTGCCCCATGGACAGGGGCCCTGGCATGGAAACTCATGAGTAATTTGCTTGTCTTTTCCTTAGAGCAATACAAGCCAGTGTAGATTGTGTGCATTATGTTGTCCACAGCATTGCAAGAATACTAGCAGGTAATTGTCACTGTTTAAAAAACGAGCAATCTAAGACTTACCCAGGGCAAGCAAAATTTGAGAGCTGCTTGTTTAAGGGGCAAGCTGGAATTCAAAAAATAGATAGATAACTTTATTTAAATGTCAAATGTATTCAAACTTGAGACTGCCGAGAAAAATCCAGACTATGGTAGGGAGGAGGATTTGAACCAGGGACCTCCAGTTTTCAAATCCAGCACCCTAAACCACTTGGCCACGCCACCTCCACAATTTTGTTTCTAGCCCTGCTTATTTTTTTTTTTTTGAGCCCTGTTTATGGGTAAATTGTATCAACTACAGGTAAGTTCACCTTTAACAACACAGGCCCATTAAGTTTACTCAGCTGTAACTGGTGTTATTACATGGCTAGCAAGATGAATCAAATCCTCTACTGTTCTGCTGAAAATTATGGCCTGTAAAATTCCCAAAATTTCATCCTCCACTTACATTTGTTAGTTTAACATGGCTCCATAGGGTAATCATTTATGGTATTGCACGCACAAGTGTTTTGAATGCTGTTTTTGCACCCAGTCCTCTCAAACTTGTTACACATAATAAGCAATGATTAAATAGTGTTTTACAAAATAAAAAAAAATAATTTTGGGTTTAGTCTTGAATTATAAATGCCTAAACAAATGTTTTTTACTTTTTTAAGGCTTTATTTGTGAATTTCTTGAATTTCCTTTGGTGAAATCTTTTAAAATTTTAACAGCACATCGCATCCTGTGGGATACAAATTTTAAACACGAAAAAGGCAGTTTTTTTCAATTTTTGCAAATTTATGTCTTTTACTTCTATGAAAAAATTTGTATACATTTCCCTGAAAAATGTGCTCCGACTAATGTAAAATATTTACTACCAGTCTGCCAAATTTTATGGAATTCCACCAAAGGAAACAAGAGAAAATTCACTTTCAGTTTTGCTTTTTGTGCTCATGTTGACGTCATAAAATATTGAAAAACACTGACATTTTCCTTCGGATTTGCACAAATTACTTGAGCTTTCATCCTCAGCATGCGTGCGATCATGAAACTATAGGGAGCCACCTTCAGTTCCTCCCATCTGAGGTGTAGTGTAATTTGCTTGTCTTCTTCTTACAGTACTACTTGGTTCCATTGTCCTCGGTGTTCAGTTTGTGCATGATGGGATCCACAGCATCATAAGAATACCAGCAGGTGATTGTTGTTGTTTACAGTGCACAGTACCCATAACTTTACACTACGTTAGTTAACAGAGCAAACTTTAAAGCAGCAAGCAAGTGTTGGAAGGTCCACCAGGGCTGCAAATAATTTTTTCTCTTGAAATGGCATATGTCCTACTAAGACACCATCTTGGTTGGACAAAACAAATTGTGGTGGGACATCACCAAAAAAGAGGAAGATTTACTCAAGGTAGATTTTTATTCATCCTTACCATAAAATGATTTGGGATAAAAAATTTGTCCGGACATCATGTCTGACCACAGTTGGGATTTTGTTGGACATGAGCAAAATTTTGGTTGGCCAATGCCAGTGACTGACTGTTATTTGCAGCCCTGTCCATTATCCCTTATCCCCCTTGATAATCCTAAGTTCTTTTGAGGAAAACAATAACAAAAATGTTGAAATGAAAAAAGGTCCAGTACCTTTTACAATCTTTTGTTTTGTGCTCATATGCTATGCATGAATATAAAACCAAAACTTTCCTATTGGTTACTTACTCAGACAGAAGTAAACACCTGTTGTGTTTTTTTGCTGGTTCAAGGCCTAAAAGGCTAACAGAAACACTCCACTAAGAACTTCATTGGGCTTCATAATCATTCCTTTTGTTTAACATTGAGACCACCTAGTTTTAATCACCATTTTCCTTAGGTGCAAAGAAAAGCTCAGTCAGTTCAAGAAGTCCTTTAGGGTGACTCATGATACTATAGACCTTTATGTCTTTAGCACATTTCTTTCACAGCTATGCTGGTCAATACATTCGCAAACACCTTCTTTTGTAGCCACCTGAAGATACTTAAATTTAAGGTGGCTCTGAACCCTTTTGACAGCTTTTTTGTTTTCAAAAAGTGTTGATTTTTTTTTTTAGTAGGGAACCTTTCAAAACTTGACATCTCTATTCAGTTTATGATGACAAAATTAGTTGCCTTTTAGATTTTATTTATTAGGCACACATGTTGATAATGAAAGATTTAGTTATCTGAGCACATTCAAACGAGAAAATCAGGTTTTTGATATTTTATGATGTGAGCATGACCAAAAAAAGCAAAACTGACAGTGAATTTCCTTGTGTTTCCTGTGAAATTCCATTGTCACTTGTCTTTTCTGGCACACACTATCACCTTTTAAATTTGAGAGAGTGGCTGTAAAACTTTTCTTGGCACTTGAAAATGACACATTTTACCAAAAATTAACAAAGCTTTTCTTTTGTGTTCAGAATTATTATCTGGCTATACTCATATATAATCTTACATGAACCGTGACATCTTTTAAAGTTCTCACAAAAGGAATTTGATGAAAATCACAATATTAAACACAAACAGTGAAAACAAATTCGTTTTTATTCATGACTAAAAGCTGGGATTTCAACTGAGGTGGTTGTAGCACACTCTTTTATCATTGCTTGTTAAACTTTATAGGTTTTATAGAATGGGGATATAAAAAAACCAACGCAAAAACTAACTTTCAAAATGTAACACTAGTGAGTGCCATGCTAGAAATGATCACCCATGGAGCCATCTTAAAGAAATATACCTTACTTTTGAACTTTTAGGACTAACAACCTTGAAAATTCTCAGTAAAGGTTTTTCTTTTTTATGTATCGTTGTTTAGTCAATAAAGTTTTCAAATTTTCAGAGCCATCGCCAATTTATGAAAGTTAGGTAGCACTGAGCCACACCTACTAAACATTTCAAACAATTTCCGTTTTGTCAAAATATTGGGACAAAAATATATCAAAACGGGAAATGTCCAAAGGTTATTTGCCTCAAAAGGATAAAGGGTGCGCTGGTTTAACATTTTTTGCAATGCCGTGGCAACCAATTTGACGTCATTAGTAGTCGATAAACACTTCAAGGCTTTTTCGTCAAAGGCTTTCCCGGCACACACCTGCAGGGGTCGATAGTAACCTTTATAGCTTGTTTGTTTGTTTTTAGTCTTCTTTTTTTTGTGGCATGAAAGTAAACACTGTCCCCCCTCCCACAGGGTGGGGGGGGGGGGTCTTTTTGATTATCTATTTTACGGGTTACAAGGAATTTTCTAACATAGTTAACTTTGTTATTTCCAATGTCGATTTTCCTGTCCAAACACCAAGAATACTGTGAGAGAAAATTTGAAATAATCCCGCGCATAAATGCAATGAGACAAGCAACCAATCAGATGACCGCATTTAAACACCCTAGTGCGTGGCTGCAAATGTTTGAAAATTTAAATTGCAAATTTCATATGTGTTAACAACATGTCGCATTGCTTTCTTCGTCCGTATGTTAACCATTCACGTTTAAAACTTTAATTTACAGAAATCTACCGTTACCTTTGCTTATTGCTTCGAAAAAGTATCAGAAATCAGTTTGCGGTTATCCTGACGTTTGGAGATGCTATGAAACACAAATAACCTGCTACAACAACTTGACTTGAAGCACGTGCTTCAAACAAAGATGTCACAGTGTATTGTCAACTTATGGAATTTGAATTCTCCTCAAGGTAAGAACTGTTGTTATTATTATTATACTTTTATTTTGTACTAAATATTTTAGAAACAGTCGAATAATCAATTGGCATTTTTTGACTGTTGTGATTTGTTATCTGTGGAATAAACGACTACATGTAGCATTTGTCGAACGTCGGTGTTTCGTTATTTACCTTTTCGAGTTCATACAATTCGTAAGTCACATCGAGATCTTTTGCTTTACCTGTCTTTCAATGTCAGTTCCCACAATCTTGTGGTATAGCAGGACACTATTCATTAGTTGATTAATTTCTTTATTCTCTAGACTTGTTTGCTTGACATTGTATTGATATTCTAAGAGGAAGTAACATTTGGAAATAACATTTTGATCTCTTGGCAATCAGCGTGAAGAGTTAATGTTTCAAGATTGTACTTCGTCTTACTCGAATGTAAATAAGCAAAGTTTGTTTTCAAATTGTGTTAATTACATGTTTGAGTTAATGAATGCCACAAGGAAAATATTGCGAAAATATTCAAACGCGTATCTAAAGGAGCAGAAGATGAATGTTTGTCACGAAAACATTCAGCAATTGTTTGATACATAGACATCACAAGACATGTGAAGTAAATAATTTTTAAATTTCTTTCAGGATTTTTGGCATTACAAGCGAGACAGCGAAAGGATAAGGACAGAGACGAGCACAGAGGTACTGAAGTTGGCGAGCGACGGCAATAAAGACACTGGAGACAGACACTGGAGACAGACACTGGAGACAGACACTGGAGGAAACAATAAGGACAAAACATTGAAGATAACACAACGCAAAGTAGGATAGATAGATAAGATCGCTAGTGTTTTCTTTTCTCGGATAAGTAAGAACAAGAAGGCAGACTTCGAAACACAGGAGGACGTTCGTTTTAGTTTCAAACAAGTTTATTTTCGCTCTGTTTTGCGGCTCGTAAAATTTATTTACTGATTCCAATTGTCTTGTTTGATACACGAGCCCAAGTCTCCAAAGTGTAATCTACCAAGTTCGTAAGGTTTTCGAGTAATAAACGTTTTTCTCACAGGAAACTCGTACACTGTGTAACTGGAATAAGTTTGTAACTAACAGTTTTCTTCGCTCTTTAACGCTTTTGTTTGAAATTTGACGGAGATTCAAGATCCTCGATTGTCTAATTTTATCAAGAAGATTTCTTGCTTCAAAACCGCAACAAAACGTTTGATTTTAATTTTTAATTCAGCTTCTTAACTTGCTTATCACAGCCACACAGTGTTGGTTTCTCGGAGGCAACTTGTGAAGATTTTGCTTCTTCGTTTGATTTCGTATCAAAACTGTTCAGAAAGTCGAGTTAGCTATCCAATTTGAAATGTTTCCCTGTAAACTTTTTTTGACTAAGAGCTGGTGCAAGTTAGTGTTTCATGAAAGCTTTCAATATCATTGTAATTTTTTTGAAGTAACTATTACTCGTGAAGACCCATGTCAAAATTTTTAATTTTCCCGCCGAAAAAATACGGGGGCTTAAAATACGCATGCGCCATTTTTTTTTTAAAAAAAAAAATCGTCTTATATTTCATGTACTCCGTTTAAAAATTTTTATTTTTCCCGCCAAAAAACTTAGAAAAAATACGGCGCCCAAAATACGCATGCGCCATTTTTTTTTTAAAAAAATCGTCTTATGCTTCATGTACTCCGTTTAAAAATTTTAAATTTTCCCGCCAAAAAACTTAGAAAAAATACGGCGCCCAAAATACGCATGCGCCAAGTTTTTTTCAATTTGTTACTAAGTTAATATTGTAATGTCCATGAAAGTAATTTACTATTTTTCGTCTCTTTGTTATTATTTATAGTGCTGTTAACAGAAGTCAATAAAGTACAAGTGTCTTCTTTGTAATCTTTATTATCTTTAGTAAAATATTTCATTCAAACAATAAATACAAGCAAGTGTTTTGTGTTTCAATTAGTTTTATTCAACTCAATAATTCCTTAATTAATTAAGTGATTTTTCATAAAATTAATTACAAAGGTGTCATTAAAAAATTTGCCCTATATATACTAAGACTTTTGGCGGGAAAATTGGAAAAAATTTGCACAGCGTTTCCCCNGATAATATAGGATGTTTTTTTTAAATACTTTTTACCAGGGAACGCCATATTCTATATTATCATGATCAATCCTACTAACGGATCCGCGATATTTTTACGTAAGTACTGTTTTTATTACACGAAACGTTTGGTTTTATTTTGTAGAGAAAAGCCTTGTGCAAAATCTGTTAGAAACAGTCGAATAAACAACAAGCATGTATCAAGCGTTATTCTTTTGTTGTCCATCGTATTAATATCCTGGAATGTGTCGGTCAAATCGAGATATTTTTACTTTGTGGCGGAAATATTACAACGAAGTGAGAATATTTACTATGAATTTGTTCGCAATTTGGAGTTGTTACGCTCCTTTGCTTATTTCTTCCGTACATTTTTACCGAATATGCAAACAACAGAACTGGTACGTTCTGTGTATACTGTAAAGTGTTTCGTCGAGAAGTGTTGTCTAGAAGTGTTGTCCAAAAACTAGCCGTGTTTTTTGTCGCGATAAGAACAGGTGAAGACAAGTCGTTCAAATAACTTTTTTTTCCTTTTCAGGTACAAATGACGACACTGTGAAGCTGTAATGGAGCCATCCATAACACGATAACTTCAGGTAATTAAAATTGATTTAATTCGTTGTTCAGAATTTCATTTCTGCCGACTGTTTGCTGTTCATGTCTCTTCAATGTCAGTTCCCAGAATATTGTGGTATAGCAAGACAGTATTCCTTGGTTGATTAATTTTTTTTTATTCCCTATACTTGTTTGCTCGACATTGTGTTGATATTTTAAGAGGAAATAACTTTTTGATCACTCGGAAATCAGTGTGAAGAGTTAATATTTCAAGCTTGCACTGCGTCTTACTCGAATGTAAATAAGCAGACAAAGTTTGTTTTCAAATTGTGTAAATTACTTGTGAAAGTTAAAATGCTACAAGGAAAAATATTGCGAAAATATTCAAACGCGTATCTGAAGGAGCCGAAGATGAATGTTTGTCAAGAGAACATGAAGCAATTGCTTTGGTTTAATACATAAACATTACAAGGCATGTGAAGTAAACATTTTAAAATTTCTTGCAGGATTTCTGGTGTCACGAGCAAGACAGCAAAAGGATAAACACAGAGACAGTGAAGCTGGCAAACGGGAACTAAATACTCTGAAGACAGACGCTGGAGGAAACAATAAGGACAAAACGTTGAAGATAACCCAACGACGCAAAGTAGGATAGATATTTAAGATCGCTAGGGGTTTTTCTTTTTCTCGGATAAGTAAGAACAAGACGGCAGACTTCGAAACACAGGAGGACATTTGTTCTAGTTTCAAACAGGTTTATTTTCGCTGTGTTCTACGGCTCGTAAAATTTATTTACTGATTCCAATTGTCTTGTTTGATACACGAGCCAAAGTCTCGAAATTTTAACGTGGCAGCTTTCTGTAGGGTTAGGAAACGATTTATTTTCTTGTTTGATACACGAGCTAAAGTCTCAAAATTGTAATGTACCAAGTTCTTAATCTTTTCGAATAATAAACGTTTTCTCACAGGAAACTCGTACACTGTGTAGCTGGAATAAGTTTGTAACTAAAAGTTTTCTTCGCGCTTTAACGCTCTTGTTTGAAATTTG